TCCAACTCAAAAAAAAAAAAAAAGAATGCAATGTATTAGAAAGTCCACAGATAAGCCAAGCATGGTGGTATACACTTGTAGACCCACCTACTGAAGATGACTGAGGTGGGAGGATCACTTCAGCCCAGGAGTTTGAGGCTACAGTAAGCCATGAGTGGGGCTGCAGTAGGCCATGAGTGTGCCACTGCACTCCAGCCTGAGCAACAGAGTGAGACCCTGTCTCAAAATAAATAAATAAAGTCCTCAGAGTCACTATCCCAAAAGACCCTTGATGTCACTTCGCCCAGCTGTGTGTTCCCATGAATGACTCTTTTTTTTTTTTTTTGAGTCAGAGTCTCACTCTGTCACGCAGTCTGGAGTACAATGGCACGCTCGTGGCTATGACAGCCTCCACCTGCTGGGTTCAGGCAATTCTTTCACCTCAGTCTTCTGAGTAGCTGGAACTATAGGCACATACTTCCATGCCTCGCTAATTTTTTGATTTATTGTAGAGATAAAGTCTTGTCAAGTTGCCCAGGCTCGTCTCAAACCCCTAGGCTCAGGTAATCCTCTTGCCTCCACCTTCCAAAGTATTGGAATTACAGGTGTGAACCACTGCACCTGACGTGACTCTCTTTATATATGTGTGAGAGTACATTTTTCTTTCTTCCATGTAGGGCCTGTGTCTCTTGCTGTCTTCTTTTTCTTTGTGTTACTTTTGTTTCTAATTAAGCTTTAGATCTTCAGTGTTTTTAGAGCTTGGGAAAAAAAGACATAATCACTTAGCTATCTAGCTGTTGAAGTATTGTAATTTTAGGTCAGCTTTTCCAAAGCCTCAAGGCTGTGGGAAGTTTATCACAATTACATAAAGCTTCTATTTAATTAAACATTCTTCTTAGCTGGGCGTGATGGCAATCAATCAATCCCAACCTCCCTCCCTTCCATCTTCCACGTCCAATCTCATTCTCAAAGTTTTCCCATGAATTTCTTAGAGGAGAGAGGGGCCCTGATATATTTTATTCCTAAGTTCAGAAGTGGTTCAGAAAAACGTATTTTAATGTGCAAAGTACCCCAGCATCTTTGCCACAGTTGAATGCTTTCTTAAATCTATTACTAGCCGGGTTCGGTGGCTTACCCTGTAATCCCAGCGCTTTGGGAGGCTAAGGTGAGTGGATTGCCTGAGCCTGCGAGTTCGAGACCCGCCTGGG